CCTTTTGCAGATCTCGTCTTTGTTTTGGGACATTAAAAGCCCTTGAGACTGATGTGTGCTGGGGAATTATTTTCCCTTTACTGTACTATGAAGTTTGGCATCTTAAACACGCGTTGGGAAATAGCTTGTAGCCTGTAGGCTACTCCGCAGCCGCCAATGTTTAAGCGAACTGCCGAAACCATGTTTATTTTTATTTTTAGGAAGAATAATTAAATCATAATTAAACAAAAAAAAATACAGCCTTTCCAGCCTTCCCCATTTTTTTCCTTCAGATCTACATAAATCACATTATTAACCTTTAGTGCCCTCAGTTGACGGAAATCCGTCATAGCGATGGAAAACTTTAATTCATGTGTCCCAGACTTTAGAGCGTTTAATACACGATGATGCCTGATTTGTGGCCGCCATTCTTCTACCTGTCGCTGAATACTGTTGCACAAGAGTGAATCTCACCAGTGTGGTGTATTGGTGCAGTCAATTGCACAGCTAGAAAGGAAAGAAAACGTCTGACTCCGTTTAAAAATACGTCTGACGACAATTATAGACAATCAAATTCGTCTATATATTCGACTATTTTTATTGTCGACAATGTCAGATAATCGTTGCACCTCTAGGGAGTTTAACAAACTGGAACCAAAAGACAAAATATTCTTTATAAATAATGAGTGCTGTCAACGTTAACACGTTAACGCTTGCGATGAATCTGGAAACCTTAAAGCTCTATTTTTTTTTTACGCAAAGTAGCCCTCTGGAGTGGGTGATCCTGCCCATGGGATAAAACAGAAATCTCGCCAAACCGCCAGGAGTTTTTGTCAGACACATAAAAAAATCACTCCCAGAAACCTTTAACAGTAGGCCTATACTTTTCAAATATATATATAGGTAGAAACTAAACATATTTTTTGATCTTTATAAGGAGAATAAAGAAGAAGAGTCACTGACTTGAGTCTATTAGCAACTTGGATATTTGGAACCATGCAACTGAATGGTTTCAGCTATCAAAGCCAAGATGTTATATTATAAAAGCATGTGATTCCTGATACCAGTTTGTCATGCATTTCTTTGTTCCAAGACCACACCTGTATTTGTTTCATCTTCTAAAAAACAAGCAGGCAAATACAGACACTTCTCATTTAATGACCTCCCTGTTTACTGACCGCCCATACTTACAGCCAGCTCTCTGATCATTCAGTATTGTACGCTGCACCAGAACCTTGGTCCTGGAAACGGCAGCGCAGTGTTTCTCTTGTAATCTGTTTGTTCTTCTCTCTGATTTATTTGGGTGGGCGGAGTAAGGTTGTACACTCACCTAAAGGATTATTAGGAACAGCATACTAATACGGTGTTTGACCCCCTTTCGCCTTCAGAACTGCCTTAATTCTACGTGGCATTGATTCAACAAGGTACTGAAAGCATTCTTTAGAAATGTTGGCCCATATTGATAGGATAGCATCTTGCAGTTGATGGAGATTTGTGGGATGCACATCCAGGGCACGAAGCTCCCGTTCCACCACATCCCAAAGATGCTCTATTGGGTTGAGATCTGGTGACTGTGGGGGCTATTTTAGTACAGTGAACTCATTGTCATGTTCAAGAAACCAATTTGAAATGATTCGAGCTTTGTGACATGGTGCATTATCCTGCTGGAAGTAGCCATCAGAGGATGGGTACATGGTGGTCATAAAGGGATGGACATGGTCAGAAACAATGCTCAGGTAGGCCGTGGCATTTAAACAATGCCCAATTGGCACTAAGGGGCCTAAAGTGTGCCAAGAAAACATCCCCCACACCATTACACCACCACCACCAGCCTGCACAGTGGTAACAAGGCATGATGGATCCATGTTCTCATTCTGTTTACGCCAAATTCTGACTCTACCATTTGAATGTCTCAACAGAAATCGAGACTCATCAGACCAGGCAACATTTTTCCAGTCTTCAACTGTCCAATTTTGGTGAGCTCGTGCAAATTGTAGCCTCTTTTTCCTATTTGTAGTGGAGATGAGTGCTACCCGGTGGGGTCTTCTGCTGTTGTAGCCCATCCGCCTCAAGGTTGTGCGTGTTGTGGCTTCACAAATGCTTTGCTGCATACCTCGGTTGTAACGAGTGGTTATTTCAGTCAAAGTTGCTCTTCTATCAGCTTGAATCAGTCGGCCCATTCTCCTCTGACCTCTAGCATCAACAAGGCATTATCGCCCACAAGACTGCCGCATACTGGATGTTGTTCCCTTTGCACACCATTCTTTGTAAACCCTAGAAATAGTTGTGCGTGAAAATCCCAGTAACTGAGCAGATTGTGAAATACTCAGACCGGCCCGTCTGGCACCAACAACCATGCCACGCTGAAAATTGCTTAAATCACCTTTCTTTCCCATTCTGACATTCAGTTTGGAGTTCAGGAGATTGTCTTGACCAGGACCACACCCCTAAATGCATTGAAGCAACTGCCATGTGATTGGTTGATTAGATAATTGCATTAATGAGAAATTGAACAGGTGTTCCTAATAATCCTTTAGGTGAGTGTATATTGTTTGCAGTAATTTACCTTTATTAAGTCTTTTCTGTGTTTTGTTTAGAGGAATGTCATGAGGAGAGGTTAGCTGAGCTGAATCTGTTTAGTCTCGAGCAAAGGAGACTAACGGGGGACATGATTGAGGTTGTAGAGCTGAGGTGCAGCAGCAAAAAGGAAAGAGGCAGTCAAGACAGGCAGAGCGCCAAAAAACAAGTGAGTTTATTTTAACGTGCCTAAACACCAGAGAGAACCCGCGCACCCACTTGGGCATACGTCACAAAAACGACACCCTGCACGCATGAGCAAAAGGTAAGAGAATGAATTCTGTTTAAATGGTAGGAGCCCCTACAAGGTATATAAGATTCTTACAGGTCTGGATGCTTTTCAGCCGAATGGCTACTTCAATATTAGTTTAGATACTAGAACTCATGGCCATAAGTGGAAATTAGCGGGAGAACATTTTAAAATGAATTTGAGAAAGCACTTCTTTACACAGCATGTAGTTAGAGTACAGAATAGTCTTCCTGCTAGTGTAGCGCAAACTAAAACCCTGGGTTCCTTTAAATCAGAGCTAGATAAGATTTTAACAACTATTAAGTTAAGTTCTACCCAAACGAGCTTGATGGGCTCAATGGCCTCCTCTCTTGTTTCTTATGTTCTTATGATATTATTACAGTTTCACTCATAGATTTTCACGTCACTATGGAAAAAACACAGTGGGAACTGTACACTATTACAGCATACTGTACACTACTGTATAAAAATTTACAAATATACAAAAAAAATGTTATAAATGGTGCAAAGGTGACTTTAACAATATCTAAAAATACTTGACACAAACCCCACTACCAGTACAGTATGCTTGACATATCGGTAAGGGTTGGCTTAATTCTTGCTTACCGACCAATTCACTTAACGACTTGCTTATCGGAATGGAACTCAGTTAAGTGTCTGTACTACCATTTTAAACTTGTGATTAATCACAGCCTATTATTGTGATTAACTGGATTTATTTTTTTAATTGATTGATACAACTATAAATAATATAACCGGAGTCCATTGTTCTTGGATTATAAATGAAAATAAACACAGAAAAAACAATGAGCAATGTGACTTTGTTTGATGCAAAGACCTATGCAACGAAAGTAGTTGCTTTTCTTTTTTTTTATTATAGTAGCTTTACCCTCAATGGGTCCTTGTCAGAAAGTTACGTTCCAGGTCCTTGGGGTTCAAGTTGCACCCCTATCCATTGGCATATATAATTCAATGGTACCAAGCTCAAATTCAATTAACTAAAGTTAAGATACATTTATTAGTTAACTGCATGATGCTTGCACAGCTTACGCAGTGAGATAGTGCAGTTAAAGGGGTTGCGGCAGGTGGGGGGGGGTGGGGGGTGGGGCAGCAGAGGGGACTGGTCATATAATGCACATTCCGACTGTATCCTCTTGCAGAATGTGTCGAAGAGCTTCAGCTGTGGAATACCTTGCCATGGTGT